AGACATACACCGCGAGAGAGAGAGAGAGAGAGAGAGAGAGAGAGAGAGAGAGAGAGAGAGAGATGACAATGGCTTTTCTTAGTTAAACTTCGCTACTATTGATGCTTATTGAAGCACATTAGTTCACAACAGTCGGTGTAACTGTTCCCTCTAATCTTCCAGTGTACCGCGTACAGCTGCATCATGCCGCAAAAGCTTCAAGGAAGCTTCTTACAGCATTACACGTGGATGTGCGATTGCGAAGGATGCAAAATCAGGTGAATCAAGACAGCACAGACCTAATCCTTTGTGCGACGGTGCGAGGAACGCGCTGCATCATCCATTTGGATAGGGTGTATGTATACTGGAGAAAAACTAGGAGAGGCATATGCGTATATGTCCGGTTTTTACATAAATAAGTATGGCTTTTCTTTTTTTATATACCACGATGTAGAGCCGCGTTGTTGTATGCGTAATAGCAAAAGATATATGAGCTCGCATCTTTTTATATACGCTTAATCGCCTTGAATATTAATAAGATTTATTAGTCTGGTCCTTGGTATTTACTGAATATATACTGACATCTGAAAACACGTTTCCTTCGCATTACTGCATTGCGAGCGCGTAACGTAATTAATATTCACCTATCGGTCGACATTAAAGAGAATTGCGTATACAAAAAGAATTAGATTAAAAAAATTAATTTTGTGTGTGAGATCTGAAAATAAATTCCAGTCTCCTGTTGATATCGAGAACATAATATTTATTTTGTGAACAATTATTTTTAATTACCGATATCAATGTATAAATTAGACCTTTCACAAACGTTGGTTGGACCGTGAAAGCATGTCAAGGAAAGTCATCCACATAAGAACGTATTATTATTTCGCAAGTCGTTCTGTAAGCGATGTAAGTTATGCAGTTTAGAACTGGATCGTGTCCATGTGATGTTGACCTCTTCAAGGGAGCTATTATGGGATCATTTACGATTCCGACTGGAAAGGTAAATATTTTCTATTGGCGAGTTTCCGAGTCTGTGATTTCATGATTACAATAATTTCGGCGGTACAGTTGAATGATTATTTATATACTATAGTCTTATTATAGTATAATGTATACTTAAAGTGTACACTTTTATATCAATTATAATTAATTATAATTACTCATGATTAACATGGCTATTTGTATTTATATTTATTTATATTTATTTATAGTTATTTATATTTATTTATTTATATTTATTTTTATTTGTATTTATATTTGTTTTTACATTTATATTATATAATGTAAAACAAAGGGAATAAACAACAATATTATGTTGCAACAGAATATGTCGAGAATGTAGACAGACGCAAAACAACAGATTTACGTACAGAAATAGACTCTCACTCATAGATTTATGGAAGTTGGCCGTCCTAGCCTTGAATCTCCTCTTATATGCTTTCTAGGAAAGCATTTTCCTAGCCTGGTGCATTCTGCTGCATCTGGGCAATTTACTGAAAGAAGATCTTACATTTGCACAAATATTGCAGACGGGAGAAACGGAAGGAAAGATTCAAGCTGGTCTTTTACTAATTGTAATGCGTTCGTGTCGTAAACCTTGAGTTTTATTATCACTGAAGAGGGTTCATGGTTGAGCCGAAACATATGATTGTTTTATATTGATTATTCATGTTCAATATTACATAATTTCCTAACACAAGGAAGGTTTTTACCCATATGGTATATAGCACTATTAGTCCTGTGCTTGAATTCGAATTGCCCTTTTTCCTATTTTTTGAAAGATTCAAGATTTAATTTGTATGTTGAGCATATTGCTACTTTTTGTGCATTTTAACAATTAATATTTTCAGCAAATCTGTTTAATAAGTGGGTAAAAAATTCATCTGGAAATAAAATGCGTTCTCTTTCTGGAAATGCGAAAAGAAGGCAGTTATTCATAATCGTCAATCTGCGTGATGTACATATCATAAGACCCATCAGCATCACCAGCTTCGTAGAAGATGATTACACGATTTAGTTCGTCTATTTTGTCGTACTAACGAGTACGTGATTTAGATGTAACGGTGCATCAACGAGATTCCTTTTTTGATGCATCGTAAACTGACGGAAAGCGAAAAGAAGACGCGCCGTGGGAAAGAAGACAAAGGCTCGTGCCTCGTGAAGCGAGGAGGACTCTCCGGATCCGTGACGATCACGCTTAGCATTATAGAGAAAGAGAGAGGAAGGGAAGGGAAAATCAAGAGCGAGCGACGCGATTCGAATCGAGCCTATTCGATAGCTCCACGGTTCGTACGTACGTTGCTCTTCTTCGGCTGCTGATCGTCTCTCTCCCTCTCTCTCGTTTCCTCATTCTTTTGCCTCTCTCTTTCTCTCCACGTCTCAACATCAGCTTCGCTCGACCTCTAATTCTCAGGCAAACAAAAACTTAATCGGTCGCTTCCTCCGTTCGCTGTTACGGTTGCAACAGAAATGAGAAAGAGAGAGAAAGAAAGAGAGAGAGAGGGGAGGGGAAAGAGAGAAGGAGTAAAAGAGGAAAAGAAGAAGGGAAAGAGAGAGAGAGAGAGAGGAAGGAGTGACGAGCCCGGAGGGTTAGTACGACGATAACGAAGGGGAGGAGAGGAAATCAGAGAAAAAAAGGATAGAGTCGAAGGCTGCCTTTTCCTGCAGAATACGATCAAGATTACCTTCGGCGTAATCTACGTATCCAGTAGCTATAACCGTCTGAATTCATTTAGTCGCGCTTAGCTGCGATATCGTGTAGGTGCAACACGAAGCTGCCGCTTACAGCAGCCGGTTTTACTTTGAGATGCACGCGCGCTCCCGGCGCTGTCGTGTCGCAAAATCGTGCGTAAAGGTGCTCTATCAAGGCGTACAGGTCGATTGACAGTAAGAAACACCAGTGAACGAGCGTGATGAAAACAGCCCTCGCTAGAAATAACGCGATCGAAAGAAACAAACGCGACTAATTGGCGAACCGAGCTGTAGATAAAAAACTAAAGATGCGAAAACTGCGACAGTAAACATGTGAAAATAATACCAGATGTTTGTTGCTTGATTGAACTTCGTCATTGCCAAGTGAAGAATGATATGTACCATCCTATTTTTTATTTTGAATTACTTACAAATCACAAAATTAAATTGCAACAGACATGAGGAAGAGAGAGAAAGAAAGAGAGAAAGGAGGAAGGGGGAAGAGAAAAGGAGTAAAAAAGGAAAGGAAGAAGGGGAGAGAGAGAGAGAGAGAGAGAGAGAGAGAGGAAAGAGTGACGAGCAACTTAATTCAATTTTGTAAATAATTCATTTTTAATTACTTACAAACTATAGTGCAATGAGAATTTCCGATTTTCGCGCTTAAAAAAGTTATAATTGATAGCAACATGAGGCTTAAATATTCTTAATTAAATTCTCTATTATGCAACAAAAAGATAAAATTACTATGGGGTCGTTTTTAACATTAGTATGCCAAATTAAAATAGGTATCAAAATACAAAATGAAAATATAAAATAAAAATACAAAATAAAAATAATTTTTACTTACATAAAAAATTTTATGTAAATAACTAATTTATTACTGGCTATATTATACGTAATCAAACTATATTTCTATATCGTTAAACTACATAAGGAAAATGTAGGTATACATATAACTAATCTTTGTAATAATTTTAATATAAAATCTGTATTATATATATATACACATACACAGGGTGTCTCACACTTTCCTCCGGGCATTTTGTGCGGGACGTAGAATGGGTTGATGTGAACATAAAAGTCCTATACCGTTTTGCGATATTTGCAATAATTATCGAGATATTAATTGTAAAAAATTTGTGAATAATTATGTAGAATATGGTAAATGAGTTATAGTAGCGACTGCCGTCATATACTTATACTTTAGGTCAAATTGAACAAAAAAGTCCTCTACCATTTTCCAAATAATCACATAGATTTTTAATTATTAATTAAAGAAGATGATTGCATTGTCACGCAAAATCGTACAATAACCTTCTTTAATTAATAATTAAAAATCTATGTGATTATTTGGAAAATGGTAGAGGACTTTTTTGTTCAATTTGACCTAAAGTATAAGTACATGACGGCAGTCGTCGCTACTATAAGTCATTTACCATATTCTGCATGATCATTTACAAGTTTTCTGCAATTAATATCTCGATAATTATTGCGAATATCGCAAAACGATATAGGATATAGGACTTAATATAGGACGAAAATATAGGACTTTTATGTTCACATCAACCCATTCTACGTCCCCACAAAATGCCAGGAAGAGAGTGTGAGACACCCTATATACAAGGTGACCCGCATAAGACGTACAAAAAGAAAAATATAAATAGAATAGATAAAAGTGAATAAAAATTGTATAGGCCATTTTTCAAACAACCACATAAAATTTCGAGATATTAATTAAAATAGTTGGGCATATCAGAACGCGGCGACACAGCAGGCGGGACATACGGCTCGCCGCGGCCGGCGAAGAAAATGGACGATTGCTCGCGGGCCTATCTTATAGGCCAGAGAGGTGGGCCGTTTGGCATACGGAAATGGGTAGCTCCGTGTGTGCGTCCGTGTACATGTGCGCTCGTCCATTTTCTTCGCGGCCGACCGCGGCGAGCCGTATGTTCCGCCTGCAGAATCGCGCATTCTGATTTGTCCATCTATTTTATTTAATAACTCGAAATTTTACGTAGTTGTTTGAAAAATGATCTATACAATTTTTGTTCACTTTTATGCGTTCTATTTATATTTTTCTTTTCGTATGTCTTACGCGGAACACCCTGTATAGAGTGTCCGAAACTTTTTTTGATATACATCGTAGGAAAGTAGAACAGATTAAACGGAATAGAAAAGTCAAATATTGCGAAATTTGCAATAGTTTTGCAAAATTTGCAATAGTTTTCAAGTAATTAATTATTTTGTCTGAGCAAATAAGTGTTTGGGCCGCAACCGTGATACACGCGAATCGTGGCTCGCTGCGTCCCTCCGCCCATAGCTACGCTGTGTCTCGTACCTATGGTAACTATGGCTACGAGACACAGCGAGACATAGCTATGGGCGGAGAGACGCAGCAAGCCACGATTCGCGTATATCACGGTCGCGCGCAGGCTCGAGCGCTTATTTGCTCAAATAAATAATTAATTACTGAAAAACTATTGCGAATTTCGCAAAATGATATTTGACTTTTCTGTTCCGTTTAATCCATTCTACTTTCCTATGATTTGTGTCAAGAAAGGTTTCGGACACTGTATATACAGGGTGTCTGACTCGTTTTCCTCGTTGCTAGGGGGCTAGGCCAGCTAGTCATACCGATGCTACAGCGCGTGCAGCGTTTGTCTCACCGCAGCGCGTGTGCTGATTGGCCAGTGAGCTGCCGCTCGGTAGAAATATTTCGTTGTTAATATCTCGAAATTTCATGTGGTTGTTTAAAAAAAGACACCGATTTCATTACTCATTCCGACCTATTCTAGCTATATATTAGCTCTGATACGGTACGAGTCAGATACTCTATATATACAGGGTGTCTCAGACCTTCATTATGACCCTTTGTGAGAACGTAGAACGGATTGAGGTGAGTCCTGTGCTGTTTTGCGATATTCGCAATAGTTTTCGAAAAATTAATTATTTTGTCTCAGCTAATGAGAGCAGAGAAGGCGACAGCCAAAAGAGCAGGCGCGCGACCGTGATACATGCGAATAGCGCGGCGCGTGAGGCTTGATACACTGACACATGTGCATGATATATCCGTGTGCCGAATCAAAATGTATCGTTGCATACGTGTATGTAGAGATGAAACAACAAAGCGACAACACACTCTTAGACTCGGCGTCGATTCGGCACACGAATGTCATGTACATGGGTTAGTGTATCAAATCCTCGCTGTCTCGTAGCTATGGGCGGAAGAACGTAGCGAGTCGCGATTCGTGTGTATCACGGTCGCGCGCCGGCCGAAGACATCTTTTTTTCGGCTGTCGCTTGTTCTGCTCTCATTAGCTGAGACAAAATAATTAATTTCTCGAAAACTATTGCGAGTATCGCAAAACGGCACAAGACTTTCTTGCTCACTTCAATCCGTTCTACGTTCTC